ATATATATATAGCTAGCTCAACAATATGAGAGCACTTAGGAGGATAAAATAAATAAATAATATTTTCTAAAAAAATACATTATTTTTCCTGGTATGCGATTTGTAATGAAAAAGTCTAATTTTAATGTTTAAATATTTCTCATTTTCGTTAATATTTAAGAATATTTATCTTTTTATATTCTGTACTTTAAGTTTATTGAAATGTATACCCTTTAAATTAGGTTTAATATACAAATATATACATTTTCACAGTCAATTCTTAATTTTGACCTAAAAAATCTGAAATAGCCTCAAATAAAAATGAAAAAAGCACTAAAGAAAACTTTAAACTTATGGTCTTGACTTGAAAATGCCCAAAATACACTTTTTGTGTGTTTATATATAGATATAGATATATATATATATATATATTTTTTAAAGTTCTAGCCATTTTTTTAAAGATGATTTGGTCATTTAAAAGGTTAAATTAAATTATTGACCAAAAAAAAGTATAGATTTGTGTTTTAATTCTAATTTTAAGAATTAGTTCTTCTGATGAGGTCGGAAATTGAAAGTATGGTTTTCGAATAAATCTAAACACAATATCTCTATATTTTACTAAAAAGTAAATGAGAACCATAAGAACAAAGTTGAACTACACTGTAAAGTTAGGTCTAGTTTTCTCATCTTTTTAGTTCATCTAATAAAAAGCAAATGAGATAAATATCACATGAGATTCAGATCATCTGCCAAATTTCAGGATTCTTAAATAATGTCTAACTAATTATATTTTGTCGTATCATTTAATGAACAGTATGATAGAGTCAAGTAAAGAATATTTTAAATTTTTTGAATGATGTGACAAGATATTATTGGTTAGATATCATTTTGAACACTAAAATTAGACGTGTGATTTCAATCAAATCGTATGAGACAGATTTTAGGAAAAATGACAACTCAAGTAGTTAATTAGACAAAGAAAATTCCTAAAATATAACAAAAATGAAAGGATATTGGTAATGACAATTTAATAATGTTGACGTGTTTATTCCATTTATGCATATTATAACACTCAAAATTTCGAAATAATGACCTTGAGAATGTTTTCGGTTAACTCCCCAGGTCCTCTTGATGAAAAATAGGCCACAATCGGCGCGGGCTTATGTCTTGAAATTTCAACTGTTGGAAGGATCGTTGCTGTTGGCTTTCTGTTTATGAAGGGAGTGCTTCGAAAGGTGAGCTAGGCACATTTTAATATCCAAAAAGAGCTAAAAAAAAAAAAAAGAGCCGGTGAAATTTATGCATTAAATTTTCGTGTTATACTTTTGTAATATTCATTTTATAGTTTTATAACAACTTTTTCTTTTTTTATTTAACATTTTTTTTTTTTTGCATATTAAAAAGAATACGTATATGTGTATTTATACGTGTAGACGAGGCTTACTTGGTAGATTTGATGTAGTTAAGAATCTGAGATCCTGCAATTTTGCCAACTTCTACGTATGGGAAAATGCCAGTAACAGAAGGCACAACTCCTTCCTCTTTTTCTATGAAAATTACTCCTTTGACCTTAGCCTCTTCTACTAGAGGTTGTCTCTTCCAGCCCCTTAAACTTAAAGGCTCCTCATCATCTGCACAAACGACAATCTTTCCTGCGAGTTTTTTAGGGTCCAAAGATCCTGGATAGCACTTGCTACATTATAATGTTGAGGAGAAATTAATGACCCGTTTGGTTTGTATCAAAATTTAAATTTTGTGAGAGAAAATGATGTAATATGATTTTTTAAATAGACATAATATATATATATATATATATATATATATACACACACACGAAACAAGACTAATGCTAATGGAAGATCACCTTGCTTCCAATGCGACAGAAGAATTAGGAGCCGCATCCTTTCCAAATACAAGTGGATGTATGGCTGATCGTGAAAGCTTTAAGAAAATGGCAGATCCCTAAAAAAGAATAAAGGATTGTTTTAACACTTTAACTCCAGATCTATGTTACGTATTTAACTATAGATCTAAGTAATGTATATGCCTCGTACCTTAGAATTAAACAATTAGGTACTGCATTTTAATAGGTACTCTAGTACCAAACATAAAATATATATATATATATATATATATATATATAATTGTGTTGTAAAACTGTATAAATCTCTATTGTAATTACAATATGCAGGTGGGTGTCAAAATTAACCACTAAAACTGTGATGAGCAGCTATAGTGATGTTCACTTGTTCATTAAGAGTTGGTTTGGTACGATGATTTAAATCAGAGTGATTTTAATTATGATTCTGAAATTAGAACCATGATTCATGATTTTAGATTTAAATCATGATTTTGAAACGATGATTCAGAATCAGGGGTTTGAATCACATTGAATTAAGATATGGGTGGTTTTAAATCATGATTTGAGCTAGTTTAAAACATCACATTAAATTCTGAATCATGATTCAGAATCATCCAAATTAAATATTAATTCTGAATTATGATTCAGAATAACTGTAAACAAACACTGATTTTAGATCCATCTACCAAACACGCAAAAATACAAAGCAGAAACGACAACCTTACCTTGAGGCCTCTTCCATTGCCAAGCAAAACAGTGGACTGAAAATCTCTATCCAAACTAGAAGCCGCGACGGTAAAAATCCACGGCGCGGTGTTACCGACGGTGAAAGGTTCAGGGCCGTAATTCCCAGCGGAGCAAACCACCACGACGCCGTTTTGATCAGCATGGAAAGCTCCAATGGCAATTGGGTCCTCAAAGAACTCACTAGACGTGCCGGAACCAATGGAGATGGAAATCACGTCAACTCCGTCATTGACGGCGTCATCGATGCCTTGCAAAATGGCTGCGCCGTAGCAACCTTCAGATGAGCAAACCTTGTAGCTGGCAATCCTGGCAGATGGGGCACCACCTCTGGCCGTGCCTCTGGCTAAACCGAAGTAGGAGGCATTGGTAACTGGTGCACCCGCCGCTGTGGACGCCACGTGTGTTCCGTGGCCCTCCGAGTCTCTCGGCGAGTCAAGTGTCTTCTCTTCATTGGCGTAGTATCTTGCACCGATCAACTTCCTGTAATGGCAGTGCCGGTTTTACCGGTCACTAATTTGAAAATGTTACGGGTTGTATTTGAAATCTTAGTAGCAATATTAACAAATAATTTTTTTTGAACGGAAAATAAATTTACAAATTACATTTTCTAATACATTTTTCGTTCTTCTGTGCTTGTAACTTTTTTCCTCTTCTTATATGCTTGAATTGTTAAAGATGTGAAACGTAATCAACTAGAACTCGGGGCAGCTCTTTAAAATCTTAGTGAATGATTAGATTTGTTATCTAATGTTTGCTTTCCGTGAAAAAATACCAATTGAAGTGGACGGTTTCTTGAAACAACAAGAAGCTAGGTCAATTATTGAATCGAATGATATTGAGCATTTTTTTTCCGTCTATTCTCGAGAAATAAGTGAGTTATTTCTTTGCAAAATTGTGCTCAATTTCATGTGTGACAATTATGTAATTTTCTTTTTAGTGTTGCCTCAGCTTTTCAGTCAATTCAAATGACACAAAGGTCAAATTTACTAAATATTTTGATGTTGGAGCAGGTGGAATAAATTATAGGGCGCGTTTAGAACTCGTTTCAAAATGATTTTGATTTTTGTATGAAAATGAAAATGAAAATGTTTTCAATCTCAGACAGAAAATCATTTTTAAAAATGTGTTTGGTAATTTTATCAAGAGATTATTTTCAGTATAAAAAAATCTATTAATGCCTCTCTATATCTCTCTCTCTACTCAAGAAAGGAGAAAACGAAAACAAAAAAATGAAAAACGACTAAAAGTCGTTTTTCATTTCTCTCTCATTTTACACTAAACTAAAAAATCGTTTTCATTTCTAATTTTTGTCTTTATTACGCCAAACGTCGTTTTGGATACGTTTTTATTTTTCTTTCTCGAAAAATGTAAAAAATAAAAATGTGATCAATTTCAAACACAGTAATAGTTTTCCAAATTCGAGTGACAAAATGTAAAAGATGACCCAAATTCAAGGCAAAGTACGAAATTGCCAAAAACTGTATTGTGAAATGAGGGTCACCTATTGCAATTGGACTTTTTGAAGTCTGATCCCTCCAAACAAACCCCTTTCCATCTTGAAGGGATCGGCCCAATTCCTTCGTCATTGAAACTTGGAGACTCCGGCCATATACCTAAATCGACACATTGAAATGGCAAGTTCTTATTGTGAAAATAAAATAAAATAAATCTTTGGCAAGATACATAAAAACACTGCTTATAACTAATAATATAATATAATAATATTGCCCATAAATAGTCCGTAAGGGTAAGGCGTAAACTATAACTTCTTTTTACCCCCAAAAAAAAAAAGTGTACGAAAAAAAATGAAAATCCTTTTTTTGTTTAGAGATGCTTTATTGATCTAAGCATTCACTTTATGGCAACACTTTTGTTTATTTTCCACTATCTACTTTTATGTAACATGATATTTCCTATACGTAGAGTAAATATTTTGGAGATAAATCATATTAAAAAGTTGAAGCATAAAAGAAGAATTGATCTATAAACTATAACTTCTTTTTACCAAAAAAAAAAAAAAAAGAGTATAGTAAAAAAAATCTATATTTTTTTAAAGATGCATTATTGATGTAAGCATTCACTTTATGTCAACACTTTTGTTTATTTTCGACTATCTACTTATATGTAACATGATATTTCCTATATATAGAGTAAATATTTTGGAGATAAATCATATTAAAATGTTGAAGCATAAAAGAAGGATTGGTTAATTACCCGTATCTAAAATCCCAATAATGATGTCACTAGTGACATGCTTTTCCAAGCCCCATCTTGACAGCCTGCCTGCTTTTCCTTCTATAAAGTCCCATGAACGTGTTGTGTGGAGTTGAAGCATCGTGTCCGGGAACACTGAGATAACATCACTATGATCTGTTTTTAGCAATTAATATGGTTTGTATGTTAATTCAATAATTTGGAGTTTCTTTGGTAATCCGTTTTATTGATAATCTCAGTTTTTGACCATTGAATTTAATCAAAAGCACGTCATATTGAAAAAGTATATGCAGAACATACAAATTTTGATACAAATCTAACGGTTAAAACATAAAAGATTACCGATAATTTATTTTTACAAGGATTATCAGAAAAAGACCATAATTTATGTAACTTTTTTTTTTTTGAAATTACTTGTAAAACAACAATAGTACTTTGGCATCAATTGGTATGGTAACATGCGTACCACTACTAGATCAAGAAGAGAGATCTTGAGATAATTAAAGCTTTGTTTTCACAACTCAAGTCACAACTCAAATTTTATTACTACAGTATTTTTTCTCACAAAATTTTAAATTTAACTTTTTTGCTATAATGTTTTTTTTTTCTCACATACAAATTCAAATTAAGACTATATGTGTTTATGTGTGCGCGCGTGTTGATTTTTTTTTTTCTTCTTCATGGAAAAGTTTTCATTAGAAGAAAACAAAACAATAAAGCTGCAGAAACAAGACAGAGATGCCCAACAAGGCTAAAACATAGCAAAACCTACTCATATGAACATTAAAAACAAAGTCTAAGGCACGCAGAAAGCATGTGTGTATAATTAATCACCTGACAAAAGATGAGCTTCATCCTCGGTAAGCATGGCAGAGAATCCTCTAAATGCATGTTTGTAATTGTGGATTATGGATATTCTCTCACTCTCTTGGCTGCCAAAAGTGCATATATATATATATATAGACACACACACATATACATATTATTGTACGTACATGATAATGAAGACATATATATATATATATATATAAATGTTACAATTACATGAATATGATGAAGAAGGTGATCAATAATATTGAACCTTGGAATGATGGTGGAGAGTAGCTGCAAATGAGCTAATTCAGCAGCAGCAGCTTGAGCAATATCTCCATTGATCTCATTTGATGATGGATTTGTAGCTCCCATATATATGACATAATGCTGATAATTACAAATAATTAAACATACAATATAATAATGACAACATAGGATCTTAAAGGAAACACAACATTAATTTGGAGAATTTACCTTGGGAATCTGATTCGGAGAAGACAAGCCACAAATGAGAGCATATGGTAGACTAAGGCAAAGGAATAGTAGGAGGAGGATACTCATTTGGAAGATATATGATGAGTAGGGTTTTTTCTTTTCTATTTATATATATATATATATATATCAGTTCTTTATTTATTGGTTATGGGACTAACATAACCAATAAATAAGTAGTAGTGAAAACGAAGATTTGAATACTTTGGCTATGGGAAAGGGGACTAAGTACATAATTATTTATAAGCTGATTTTGGAGTGAAAAGCTTATCCTCTAAGGGAAATCGACGTGATCCACGAGGATATAGAAGGACATACATCTTTGATTGTTAATTGATTGTGACTCTTTGTTGTGCACATAATATGAATACTGCTTTATGTATTTTAAGAGCAATGTCAGAGATACCATCTTAAATCCTAATTTTTGTATATTAAACACGTGAATTGTCATCTTTTCATTAGTAGATGTCATCACTTTTATTAATTGACGTGGCAATGTTTTAAACACTCACCAATAGAAAAATGACAATTCACATGCCACATTAATTGATACACAAGAGTTGAGATTTGAGTTAGTGTTCCTAACATTATTCATATTTTAATATAACAATATATATATATATATAGAACAAGAAATACATAGTATTGGATCTTACTATTCAATATGCTGGCACCATGATTACTTACTACTTAAAGTAAAAATTAGTATAATTAAGTAATCATTTAGATGGCTCTTTACTATCAATCTATAAAATAAAAAAATAAAAAAATAAAAAACCTCAATATTAGCATGATTGAAGTGATAAGTATTGAACAGCCATGATTGATTACTTATTACCATAGTGGTTTAGTTAAGTGATATTTTTTTTGGCTCATAAAATAGGGGAACTAAAAGTGCAACATGCTTGAGCAAATTAGACTGCATATTTCGTCGCCACTTAATTTTAGAGTTAAATTCATTAAACATCCTTGAACTTTTTTCACTCTAGAACTAGTGCTTGTTGCCAAAAAAAAAAGAGTTAAAATCTTAAACTACACACTTTCCCACCATAGCCTGCAAAAGGTGCTTTAAACGTCCAATACTCGTTTGACGTTTCATAAGAAAGTTCACACATTTAAATTTGTCAGCAACAAAAGTTGAAACTTTATATTCTGAATTACATAAGAAAGCTCACACATTATTTAGAGAATTAGAATCAATCTTAATTTGCTTCTCATTCTTTGAAAACTCTCGTTTTACTCTCTAATTATGAATTATACCCACTCAACTTATGTGGTATTTTTATTTCAATTTATGTTAAAAACAAACGGATAAGAATTACATGTCCACAAGTAATCCTTTTTTTCTATCTAATTGTAACAGAAATCCTTATAAAAGAGTTTAAATAGGAAAATTTCAAAATTCAAGAGGAAAAATAAATATTTTAAAGTTTAGAAGATAAAGTTGAAATAACTCCAAAGTTGAAAAGGTATCAATGAGATTAGTCCTATTATTATTTTTGAAAGAGCTATTGTCATTTACTTCTTTAAAAAAATGCATTAACAATTTAAAACACTAAATTGCAAAGTTAAAAAGAAAAATAATCTAAGAACACAGGATGTAAAGCATAAATGGACGAATTGTTACGAAAGCACAAAGACAAAGAGTGCCTGTTGTTTATTATTCATGATACGAAAACATCAACTTTTTAATTTTAGTCTGTTTATGGTTTGAAATCTACATTTACTAATTCTTTCAACTTAACTAACACTTTTCATCCAAAATTTTAATGAAATTTAACTAAGAGACTAAATTTAAGACATCAAGAGAGTTCAAGGTTTAAAATAGACTAATTTCTGATACAGGGATTCATTTTTAGAGAAAGGAAAAAAATAAAAATAAAAACTCTCAAGAATGTCTGATGAATTTAACTTTTATATTTATTGGACCAATTGTTCAGTAATAACTATCCATGTTAGACTTTTATTAAAAAAAAAAAAAAAATTGTCCAGCAAATAGGAATACTTATTTATATGCCCAGTAGCTTGTTAATTAAGCAAAAAGAAAAGAAATAATTTTTTGACCAATTAGTAAATGCGTCTTGTTATAAAGACATTTAAATTAAATACCAATTAGTTCTGTAACTCTACAAAAATAAAAATAGAAAATAAGACTTAAAATGATTTAAAAAAATAGTATATAAAAAGACACTGATCTTGAATCAAGGTCATATTAAGTGTTCGTTTAGTTCGTGTATTCAGAATCATGATTCAGAATCATTCTCGTTTTACGTGTATTTTTTGTGAGAGAAAATACTGTAGAGAATCATGAATCATGATTCAGAATCAGGAATGAATACAAAGAGAGAGAATCTTGAAGATCAAGAAGCCTAACTATGATGACTGAAAACAAGACTGGCCTGCATGTTTCTGTATATGGGGATGAAGCAAAGCTTTTTTTCTGTTCGGTCATCAGTAGAAAACATATTTAATGAAAGTGAGCATATAATAAATTTCCTCAACGGCCACGTGAAATTTTCTTCGTTTTCTTTAATTCTCTCCTTGCCTTCCCCCACTACTATCTTTTCCTTTACACAATTTTAGTCTAGTTTTCTGCTTTATTCATACTTTTCCTTTTCGTGTTGGGCATTTTTGGAATATATATATATATATATACATATATATATATATACACACACACACGTGTGTGTGTGTAGTACAGGGTAGCAAGTCCAACCCCGAACCCACTTTTGTCAAAATTCATATTATACAAATTTTTTTTTGAGATAAAATTATTTTGGTATTTTACATCGTAAAATAACATGTTTTTAATATCTTATATTTTTTATAATATTAAAACGGTATCTTATATATTTTTTAAAATATCTTATTGATACTTTAAAATTGATTTTTAAGACATGTAATGTCCAAACTATCCTTATTAATTTAATAAAAATCAATATTTTAAAAAAATCTAAAAATATTAAAAAAAAACAAAATAAAAAAGTTTATGTTTTTTTCTCTAGATTTATTTGTTTTGGTTACTTAAATAGAAGGATATTAAAATTTTACGTCTAAAAATTAGTTTCAATGTATCTAAAAAGGTGTTTTTAAAAATGTCAAAATATTGCTTTAATATTTTAAAAAAGCACAAAATTTTAAGTGTGTGTTTAGTTGTAACACTGGATATTAATATGATTTTATCCCTATATTTTTTTCCTAATTGTAACTGATTCGACAATTTTCCAAACAATTATAACTAAAATAGTCACAATTTATATGCCGCGGCCATTAGTATATATTAAATGTGTTTATACAAAAATTGCGATCACTGCCACTATTCAATTTATTTTCTTGTCTCTCAAGAACTGGCCACGTGATTAAAAAAACAAAAAAAATTAAAAAAAAATAACTGAAATATATTGAGGTCGGTATTAAAGGAAAATTTTTTATTTTTCATAATATCTCAGTTAATAAATTTTTTTAGCTCTGCATGTGTCGCTAATTGTGTCTCCTAATAATAGCATACGTACCACATTAATTATAATATTTTAAATGATAAGATTTTAATTGTCGTGTCGTGATATTTTAATTAATGTGGTATGATATGATTAGAAAGACAATAATAAGATGATACAATAGTCCACAAATATTAATTAATAACATTTTGTTGTTGGCAACATAATTATCTTGAAACTAACGAATCAAACAATGACAAATGAATTGTTACATCAATTAATCAAGAATAAAGGCCGTCGGTCTACTTTCTTGAAGAAAAATCGTTCTTCCCCTTTCCTTAATAAAGATTGCCTCTTTTTTTCTCTTTTTCTTTTTCTTTTTTATCTTTTTGAGATCTTCAATCTAGTAAAAAAATGGGTGAGATTTTTGAAAATCAGAAAAGACAAATTGAACTTGTTGAAAAATAATGGGCACTAGGAAGATTTTTGTGTGCTTTGGCTCTTTTTGCTAAAGAAAGAATCGGATTATCCGTTTAGTTTGTTGATTCGAGTTTTTAATTCGAGTTGAGATGTGATTTTATGTGAGAGCTTTTTACTGTAACAAAAAAGTTAGATTTTTTATTGTAGCAAAAAAATTAGATGTGACTGTTTCTGAAAACTTTTTACTGTAACAAAACTCGAATCGGTAAAATGAACAGAGCCGTCTCTGGAATTTGGCCTTCAACTATTGGCCAATCTGTTAATGCATTAACCCTTACCTAAAAGTGGATAATAATGTTGGTAGTAAGGCTTTACACACACAATAATTTGTATTATATACATATTATTGCGTTTAGCAATTTAAATTGCGTAGAACTATGGACACAAGTTGATTCTGTGATAGCCCATTGGGATGTAGTAAACATTTGTTTACACATAAGAACTTTCTTTCTTCAGAAAATGTACATTCCCTTGCGTGTATAAAAATAAGTTGTCATATGCAAATGTGCTTGATAGATTTGATATTCCCTTGATTTAATAGATTTTTATGATAAAGTTGAATAATAAACAAATAAAGCCGCATCCTTTTGAGATTGTTGGCAGAGATGCTTTTACATATTGTAGACTTTTTGATTCCAAAGCTGAAAAAGAAAAGAAAAAGAAAACGAAAAAGAAAAAGAAGAGATTCCTCTTGTTGGCGATTAATTTGGAAAACAGCGAGGGGCAAAATAGTTATTTCATATGTCTCAATTCTCAAACTAGTTATGAGTCTATACGCTCAAAGACTCAATTTCCACTCTCTTACTGTACAAAGGGATAAGGAAGGAAATAGTATAATTAGTAAAGTGATCAGTAAATTATAGTATATTTTTTAAAAATAATAAATTACAACATATTTTTTAAAATAGATAGATTATAATTAAGTCTATCATAATCGAGATTGGCGATCGGAGACCATTTTTTGGTAACCTGAGATCATTTTTTGGCAATTTATGATCATTTTTTGGTGACTGTTTTCCAGCAACTGTTTTAATACTATATTTACTAGTAAATACCGTATTTATCTAAAAAGCCGAATACCGACTCCGGCGGCCGTTTAACGCTGTATTTATAAGTAAATATCATATTTACTAATAAATATTGTATTTACTAGTAAATATCATATTTACTCGAATCCGGCCAACGAATTCGGTGTCATTTAACACTGTATTTACTAATAAATATCGTATTTATTAATAAATATTATATTTATTTAAAAATTCAGACATTAATTCCGACGACAGTTTACCCGATATAAATTGAGTGCTCATTTGGGATTTTGCTTTGAGTATGGTGATAAGTCCGATAATCTTTTGGAAATAATGTCGGAATGGTTTTTGAAACGGTAGTTGATTGTGTTGTAGAGATATTAGTCAAAATACAAGGAAAAACCGAAGCTGTTTTTGCTTCTATTTCTGAAAATAGAAGCTTATCTTTGTTCAGGAAAAAAAAAAAAAAAAAAGGAAGAATATATTCATGACTCTAAAGCGTTTTTTATTTTTTTATTTTTTTATATCCATGACAAAAAACAATTTTTTTTTCTTTCCAAAACTAGTTAAACATAAGTTTTAATGGTACTACTTATCATCCACACCTTCCCTGCTCAGATATAAGCTCCAAACATCATTGATCTTTTAGTTATAACACTTGCAACTCCTAAAAGTGGGTAATTCTCTTACCATTCATTTCCAAAGCTTTTAAACTGTCTTTGCTTTTGTCCACAATTCTAGATCTAATATATTTCTATTTCAAGGTTATAAATTAGTTCCTTATTATTATATAACTTTAATGAGTACTACTATGGCCACCGACTTGTTTTCAAAGTTTCCAGTACCAAGAAATAGAACAATGCACATGTCCTCTAAATATTTAAACAAGGCATATATATGTACAGCAACAAAAAAAAGTCAAATGTTATTTTTTATATTTTGACAAATCAATCATCAAATCACTTGGTATCTAAAGTTTCGTAAACTACTTGGTGACTAGAATTATTCAACCTAAAGTCAAGCTTCCCAAACGAGATGAAAAGGTGTAAAACTTCTTAAGCCTAAGAGCTCCATAGGCTGCTCCTGAATTCTTAAATTGTTTGAAGATTGTACAGTATACAAAACTAGAAGTGCATTCCATGGTTAACGTTATGGACCAAAAGAAAAAACAAGAGAGAGAGAGATGATTATCTACATGTATCAAGGCCCATAATAGATAGTTGATAGCGTTGTATTAGGTTGGGTGACGAATGGAAACTATCGTTTGCTAAGGTATATTTTTGTTCTCAGATCAATCAGTATGAAGTTTCGCAATCTACCTTGTAATTGTCTGCTCAGAATAGCTTTAATGAGAACTGAGTTGAAGGTCGTTCGAATACAGAAGCAATGTTTCGCTTGATTCATGTTCTCTCATTTTCTAGAGACCTGAACTCAGATAATTGAGTCATTTGTGTGCGTTTGGTTGGTGGATTCGTATCATAGTTCGGATCATAATTCGTAACTCACTACAGTGTTTTCTCTCACAAAAAACACACATAAATCGAGAATGGTTCTGAATCATAATTCTAAATTCATGAACCAAACGTCCACGTTCTTCTGCAGGTTAAATTCGAAGTCGGTCAAAGCATTTAGACTCTGGTTTCAATCTAATCCCTTCTACCAAACAAACGAGGCCTATCCCTCCTTCCAAAATCGGAGTCGTGTGGAGGATTTTGAATCCACCTTTCAATCTAATCCCTCCTACCAAACAAACGAACGAGGCCTATAACTCTTAAAATCCGTCCACTAATCGTCATCCCCGACCCTCTTTCCATTTCTCCCTCCAACCAAACAAGGCCTGACACGAATTTTTTGACCACCAATAAAGCAAAGACACACGAGGAAAGCTTACCTGCTGAAGAGACGAGACTACTTTCCTTACAACTGCATAATTTTCCAACAATATGGCTCCTTGAAATCCGTTGACAGACCAACCATTTTCCCTGGACTCCTCCACCATCTGCAACTTTGGCAAGTAAAGCTAGGTCCAGAATCTGTCATTGCGCGAAGAAACAGGATCGAAATGCACAAATGCAAGTTAGGAACCATAGTGCACGTGTACGAAAGTGGAATTTTTTTTGACATTGCATCAATATGGTATTCTGCCATATGTACTTATATGTGGTTGTTCTACAAACAAATTCACTTGAGAGAGTTTTGATTTCTACAGTTTTTGTTTTTTCGTTAAGAAAAACACCTGTCATTCATAAGCATATCAATTACAAGGAAAAGAGGATAAGGTATCCTCCGAACAGTACATATTGTCTACAGTTAAAATGTAATGGAAAGAAATATTCAAAAATCAAAACGAGTTTCAAAAAAATTGTTTATGCGTTAATAATCTCTTTTCTAGCCTACTTCTGAACTACCAAATCAGATAAAGTGCACTCTAGACATTGAATAATGGCCAAATCCGTTTGCATTGGTTTTGAATTCTAAAGAAGCTGGTGATTGAATCACAAGCTAAATGAGTGATATCCGAAGCAAAAATAAGACCAACATAAATCTACATTGTCCCCACTTCCATTCGATTGGTTCGCATTGATTTTGCTAATGCCATATCTCACCCCTCACATGCTTAATGATATTTTTCTTGTTTGCATCAAGATCAACTGAAGCTTTAGTAAAACCTAACACTGATAAATCTTTTTTGCATGGAGATGATTCATTAACATCTTCAACTAATGACAGAAAATCACTCACCATCTTAAAGCTTCATTTGAAGCTCACTAGAGAGATCAACTGAGGCACCGTAACGAGTTTTGCAGACTGTTAGGCATCATGAGAGTGAAACATATTAACTACCTGGAATCAGTTATTTTGTTAAACAGACATATGAATACATGAATTGCCCAGAAAAGAAAGTGATAAGATACAGTTAGAGGATACATCACCTTACAACAATGATAACACAATTTACCAGACGTAGCTTTCTAGCTTCCTGGTAGCTCTATCATCTTAAATACTAGTTGACTACTACATGAACACCATATCTCAGCAGTATTTCTTGCAACTTAAAATCTGCACTTTCTACAGGATTCTTGGCCCTCTTCTTTTCGAATCCAAGAACAAGTGCTCGATGTGTTAACTTATTTGGAAGATTATCATGTTCCACCATCCTACTAATCAAGTCACACGCGTCGTCCATATTTCCAACACTACAAAAACCATAAATCAGATTGTTGTACAGTCTCAAGTCAGGTTTTAATCCAATGTTAAGCATCTTTTGGAACAATGCTTTGGCTTCTTCCATACGATGCCGCCTGCAGTATCCATTGAGAATGGCACTGCAAGTCACAACATCAGGCTCCACGCGGTGCTCACTCATGTAGAACCACACCAGAAAGGCTTCTTCAAAATTTCCCTTTTTTGAGAACCCATCTATCAAAGTAGTGAATGTCACTACATCTGGGCAGAAACCTCTTTCTGTGAGCTCATCAAAAACATCTTCAGCTTCATTCACAAATCCTCTCATCACTAGACTATGGATGAGAGTGTTATAGGTTACAACATCGGGACAGACATTGGAAGATTTCATCATATCGAAAAGCTCGAAAACCTTTTGTAAGTGTCCTTTCTCTCCATATCCATCCATTAAAGAGTTATAAACAACAACGTCGGGCATCAAATCATCTGCAATCAATTTCCAAAACAAGCATTCTGCCATTTCCATGTTTCCACATTTGCAACAAGTGTCAATGAGCACCGTATACGTGGCAACAGATGGTTTAACTCCAACTTTCAACATTCTTCCAAGATATTGAAAAGCTCTCTGGGAGTCTCCCACTTTACAGTATCCCCCAATTATAGTAGTGTAGCTAAAACAATCTGGCAACAAGCCCAACTCAATCATCTGATGGAATAGCGAAGATGCCTTAACCATGTTACAATCCAAACATAACTTAGAAATAAAGCTATTGTACGTATAAATATTCTGTGGAAAATTAAAAATCTTCAATATTTTAAGTGCTTGATCTATACGTCCTACTTTACTGTAACCATCTACAATTGAACTAACACACACTGCATCTGGAGAGATACCCAACTGAGTCATCTTAAACACTAAGGAGGTCGCTTCAATTGGACAAGACATTTTGCAGAGTGCATCAATGATGATAGTATATGAAATAACATCAGGTTTAACCCCATAGTCTCGCATTCGGCAAAGCAACTTCCAACCGCTTTCAAAGTTACCTTCCTTACAATAGTAATGAATGAATAAGCTAATTGTAGAAGCATTTAGACCCATTCCTCTGCTTTGGATGATTTCTAACCAGTCCCATGCCAACTCCAACTGCTTTGATCCTATTAATTCCCTCAGCATTGCATTGGAAACCCTATCTGAAGGAAATATGTTATGCTGCTTCAGTTGACATGTTAACTTGAGAGCCGCATTTAAACATTTCTCTTTAATATAGCAATTAACAAGCATGCTACATACAATCTCAAAAATCATTCTTTCGGTGTGGGTTTCATACAGGACTTCCAGCAGAAAACTGTAAGATTCCTCCTCCTTATAGCGTCTTACAAGATGTAGTATCAGATCCATCGCCCTATGTTTCATGTTCCCAGAAGCTAAAATATGTATCATTCTACAAACTGATCGCACGGTATGCTTTGATCCAATGCGGGACTCTGACCACGTAAAGAAGTATAAAGCAAGTTCGGCATCAGAACTCTCCTCAAACAAATCATCCATAATCCTTATGATATTGACCTCGCTCAGTTTCACCCTGTACCCATTTGGAGACGTCAAATCCCATCCACGATTTTTAAGTACTCTTGTTATTCTTCCTACTTCACGAACCTTTGCCTTTTGATTAGTGAGAAACAAGAAATCCCTTTCTGCAACCTCATCCCCATCCTTTTTGTCAAAAGAAAGTTCATCCCGTTCTCTACGCTCGCATGAATTGCAGTTAGCCTTCGGCGACTTAGTATCCTTGGCAGAATCAGAGTCTTCAGACACTAGGCAAGAGTCCTCCAACTGAGATGTTGATGTTAATGCAAAATTCCTAGATGAATAATATCTGAATGCCCTTCGAACTACCAGCTTTGCTCCAGTTGCATATATATTGATGATTGAAGATAAACTCTTCATGAACAATCTTAATAGAGCAAGAGATGGCTGTAGAACGAGAATAGGAAACAAAGACAAACGAAAAGAAAGAACATGTTACACATATTGAATTTCCACAACCTAGAATATTTATCAGCAAAAGAAACGCACAATATATATATATATAT